ATGGTCTGTTTTCTTCTTGGGAGTTTAAGTTTTGGGTGTTGAATTTTGATCTTTAATCCATTTTTAGTTAATTTTTGTATATGGTTCAAGATAAGGGTCCAACTTCATTCTTTTCCATGCGCATATCCAGTTTTCCAAAACCATTTGTTGAAGGGACCATCCTTTTTTCATTGAGTGGTCTTGACTTCTTTGTTGAAGATCATTTGAACATATATAGGGGTTTATTTCTGGGCTTTCTGTTCTTTTCCATGGTCTATGTTGTCTGTATGCCAGTGCTACATCATTTTGATCACTGTAATTTTGTAATAAATTTGAAATCAGGGTGTGAGACCTCCAACTTTGTTACTCTTTTTAAAGATTATTTTGGCTATTTTGGGTCCCTTGAGATTTGGTAAGAATTTTAATATTGGTATTTCTATTTCTTTTTTTTAATTTTTAATTTTTTTATTTGAGCATATTATGGGGGTACAGATGTTTAGGTTAACGTCTATTGTCTTTGCCCCACCCGATCAGAGCTTCAAGTGTGTCCATCCCCCAGATGGTGCGTACTGCACCCATTAGGTGTGAATATACCCATTCCTTCCTACCCTCTTCCCACCTGCCTGACACCTGATGAATGTTACTACTATATGTGCACTTAAGTGTTGGTCAGTTAAGTCAGTTAATACCAATTTGATGGTGAGTACATATGATGCTTGTTTTTCCATTCTTGTGATACTTCACTTAGTAAAACAGGCTCCAGCTCTATCCAGGTTGGTATTTCTATTTCTGCAAAAAATGTCTTTGGGACATTTTGATAGGGATTGTATGACTCTATAGGTTGCTTGGATAGTATTGACATTCTAACAGTATTGTCTTCCAGTCCATGAACATGGGATATCTTTCCATTTATTTGTTTTCTTTAATTTCTTTTAGCATTGTTTTGTAATTTTTATTGTGCACATCTTTTACCTCCTTGGTTAATTTCTAAATGTTTTATTTTTTTGATGCTATTGTAAATGGATTTTTTTTAATTTACTTTTCAGATTGTTCGTTATTAGTGCATAGAAACACAACAATTTTTTGTGTGTTGATTTACATGTCTTGGTACTTCGCTGAATTTATTTGTTCTAACAGGTTTTCTGTGGGATATTTAGTGTTATCTATATATAAAATTATATACTTTGCAAACAGATAATTTTACCGTTTCCCTTCCAACTTAGATGCCTTTTATTTCTTCTTTTGTTGCTCTGGCTATAACTTATAATACTAAGTTCAATAGAAGTGGGAAAAGTGGGAAGCCTTGCCTTATGATCTTAGAGGAAAATCAGGCTTTTACCATTCAGTATGATGATAGCTCTGTTTTTTCGTATGGCTTTTATTATGGTGAGTTAGTTTCCTTCTAGTCCTGGTTTGTCCAGTTTTTTATCTGCACCTTGTTTTTCATTTAATAGTACTTTGAAACTAAATAATCCAGAATTGTTTCGTATTGCTTAAGCTGTAAATTTTTTTGAAGACAAACTTTTAGAAAGCACACAGAAGAAAATTAGAGTAGCAAATACAGTATGGCAGCACATTACAAAATACTGGGGAGAGTGTTAATCAGGGAATGCAAGGAATCATTCAGTATTTTATAAAATTTAGCATGTTAATGGGTAAAATGATCCTATAATTTTTCTCTTTTTAGTAGATACTAAACACGCATTTGTTAAAATTTAAAATTCATTGTTTACTTCTATGTGGAATTTGGAAACTACTCCTTCCTTAACATGTCAGTCTTTCAAACCAAAGGTCAGAATCATATTTAACAGGGAAACATTAGAAACATTCCCATTAAAGTTAGGAACAAGATAGAAGCCCATTGTCACTATAGTAGTAGACATTAAGAATGTAATAAGAGAATGTTCAAATAAAGGAATTCTATAAATTGATCACAAAGTTAATATTTAAAAATCCAACTCTCTTGTTTAAGCAGTAGCCAGTTAGAAAATGTGAAGGAAGAAAGGATCCCATTTACAATATCAAGCAATAAAAACATAGAAATATACTTAACAAGAAGTATATGGCACTCTAGAAGAAATCTTAAGTTCTGCTGAGGGACATAAAGGAGACCTGAACAAAAAGGAAGGGCGGGTAGGAAAACAATGTTGGAAATAACATCAGTTTCTTTTTAAAATCTTGAATTCAGTGTGATCCCAGTCAAAATAATTTTTACATGTCTTTTAGGAATTTTGAACATACTTCAGTAGCTACTTTTACCGTCTTGTTATACTAAATTTAAAGGTTTTTGTCTACTCTCTTGGGTTAAAGTTTCTATTGACTATTTTTCTCCCCTATTGTGGATCACATTTTTCTTTTTTATGTTTATCAAGTGAATTTTTTATTACATATTTGCATTTGCATAATAATGTATAGAGACTCTGGATTCTGTTATCTTCCTCTGAAGAGTTTTGATTCTTGTTTTCATAGGCAGTTCAATTACTGAATGATTATTTTGAACTTTTGTAGATACAGTTTTATGCTGGGTTAATGTGTGTTTGTGGAAATTCCAAGGTGTTTCTTAATTCTCCTAATGTGGTAGGACTAATCTGTCTCTTCTGTGGCTTTTTAGGAGAGATCTAGAGTAGGCCTTGTTCTAGGACATAGTCCTTACTCCTAAGGGGAAGCTTTTTGGTATGCCAGCTGAATACCAGTGTTAATGGGATCTCTAAGTTGTGGCAACCCTGGAACTTCAAAGTCCTCAACACTTGTTTTTCCTAGCACTGCTCACTATCTGGCATCTTTGTTTTTTCAACTCCATTGCAGCTATTTGATAAGCCTTGGGCGGTTTTGCTCTGTATATGTGCAGCCCATCTACTCACTGGTCATGTCCATGTGGATTTTCTGGGGGCTCCTCTCTGCACAGTTCCCCACTGTCCAATGTTCTTCATTCTGATTTCTGCCTGCTGTGTTTTGCTTGGATTCCAGGTCTCTGTTGCCTGAAAGTGTTCCTAGACAGAGAGCTGGGTAATCATAGGGCTCACCTTGTGAGTTTTTTGGGTGCTGTTTCCTACTGTCTGAAAGCAGTTGGTTCATACTTTTTCTCCAGTTTTATAGTTTACAGTAGAAGAGCTAGTTTGATCCCAGCTATTTCATCCTAACTGGAAGCCTCTTTTGGGAACTTGACATACAATTCTTAATATCTTGAAAATAACCCTGAAGATTAATAGAGAAATTTTGAAAAAGAATAATAAGCAGAAAGTGGAGTTGAGTAACTTTAACAGGTATTAAATGTGTTCTAAAGCTATAGTGTTTAAAATATGATACTGGCACAGAAATACAAAGATATATCATTAGAGGAAGTACAGGTTAAGCCTCTTAGGATTTAGAATGTGGTAACAGTGGCTTCTCAGTCAGTGAGGAAAGGATGGCTTATTTAAGAAATTATTTTAAATTATAAACAGGCTAACCATTTGGAAAACAATAAAGCTGATCCTTCTTTCACTCCTACATCATAACTGATTCCAAATCAAGTCAAGATTAAACTTTTATTGAAATAAAACAATAGTACCAATAATCGGTAAAAAAAAAAAAAAGTTGTATAAGCTTGAAATGGTAAAAGACTCTAAACAAGGTATAAATTATTTTCTGTATTACAGGAGACATCAAAAAGTGAATGGGTTTAACCACCTGGGAAAAAATAGTTGTAGTATTTCAACTATCATCATATCACGTTGATCTTACTGATCAAAAAGAATTAGCTCTTATTAATCTTATTTAGTACAAGAGATTACGTTAATATACAATTAACAGAAGAAGAAATATAAATGGCCAATGAATATAGGGAAGGATACTCAAAAGCCCTCTTATTTAAATAAATACAAATAAAAACAATGCCATTTGACATATTAGATGGATAAAAATCAGAAAAGGTTAATACCCGATGTTGGAGCTTATGGGGAAATGTACATTATTATCTGGCTTATAAGTTGTAAGGAAGTCCTTTGAATCATAGTTTAATATCTGTCATAAGCTAAAATGAGTATGTGGTCTGATCCAGATGAAGTAATTCCACATATAATTGTTTATCCTGTTGATTCTTAGGATGCCTGAGACTGCTCAGGCTAATTTAAGGGCCTAGCTTCAGACATACTGAATCATATTTTTTGTGGGTGGCTCAGGCATGTTTAATAGTTTCTCCTCATGATTTTCATACATATTTAAAGAGAACCATGGATTTATCCCAAATAATCCTGCTAAACATATGCAGATATAAGTGCATGTATGTTTGATGAGGTATTGGGAAAACAATTGAATAAATAACTGTAATAAAGCATATGATGGTATGATAAAATACAAAGTTTTTTTTTTTTTTTTGAGAGACAGAGTCTCGCTATGTTGGCCAGGCTGGAGTGCAGTGGCTACTTAACAGGCACGATCATGCCGCGCTACAGCCTTGAACTCATTGATTGGCTCAAGCCATCCTCCTGCCTCAGCCTCCTGAGTAGTTGGGACAATAGGTGTGTGCCACTATGCCCGACACAATGTAGTATTGAAAAGGAATGCTCTGAATGTAGAAACAAAATTGATAAATGAAAAAACAAATCACAGAGCAGGATACATAACATGATTATGTGTTTAGGGAAAATGTATTTATATCTGGGAGGATATATAAGTTTATCAGTGGTTATTCCTGGAGGGACAGACTTTTGCCTATTGTTTTATGGCTTGCTTATATGGCTGCTTTAATAATTTTTTATGAGCATGTCTTATAATAACATCTAGTCAAGGAAAATCAAGAATCATGCACTTTTAGAAGTTGTATGTGACTACTGAACTACATTTTGAGGCTTAATTAGGAAAATTAATTGAAACTTTGGCCAAAGTGTATCTTAAATTGTGCTTATCAGAAGAGGCCTCAGCGATTTGAATTGAAACCAAATCATACACTTTAGTGTGTTTTCTTAAAGTAAAAACCATTTTATTGTGCTAGTGTATTGCTCTAAGTGGTATATTCATATTATTAATGCTTTTCTTTTAAGAACCATCAACAACTAGTACTGCTTCAAATTATCCAGATGTATTAACAAGGCCTTCTCTTCATCGGAGCCATCTGAATTTCTCCATGTTGGAATCCCCTGTATTACACTGTCAGCCATCCACATCCTCCGCGTTCCCAATCGGCAGTTCTGGATTTTCCCTTGTAAAAGAAATTAAAGATTCTACCTCTCAGCATGATGATGACAACATCTCAACTACCAGTGGTTTTTCTTCAAGAGCTTCTGATAAAGGTATTCTTGGCATTTGGTAGCACGTAATTTTGGTAGTAAAATTAACTTTTTCATGGGATGAAATTTTTTCTGACTTATTTTTTTTCTATTTATAAAAATGTAGCGTCTCGTAATTGGTGCTGTTACTATGCAGTGCATATTTTTGTTTCAGATATAGCTGTTTCAAAGAACACTTCATTGCCACCTCTGTGGTCCCCAGAAGCTGAACGTTCTCATTCACTGTCACAGCACACTGCCACCAGCTCAAAAAAACCAGCATTCAACTTGTCTGCCTTTGGAACACTTTCTACTGTGAGTACTAACTGGACTGGATTTAATCACATTAGTTTTGAGTATCTATTGCTTATAATCTATCATTGTATTTCTGTGCAGTCACTTGGGAATTCTTCAATTCTTAAAACCAGTCAGCTTGGAGATTCTCCTTTTTATCCTGGAAAAACAACATATGGTGGGGCGGCAGCTGCTGTAAGACAGTCTAAACTACGAAATACACCTTATCAGGTAGGCTTGAGTAGGACAAGAGTTGATAACTTTTTTTTTTTTCACTTTAACTGAACAGTAAGTTATTTGGCACTCATAAAATAGACTTTAAATTTAAACTTGTTAAGACGAGGGAGCTGTAGGTTTCATTTTTTCAATTAGGGTATGTGAACATTACTTTAGACCTAAGTAAACATTTTGTTTATTAGATTTGTGTGTGTGTGTGTAAACATATTTGTGGGTGTGTAACCACTTCTGCAATGAAAAATATTGAACAAACATTTTCATCACCCTAAAATGTTACCTGTGCATCTCTGTACTGTAGTCAGCCCCTCCTCCCACTGCCACCCTCTGGAAACCACTGGACTCTTTTCTTTCCTTGTAGTTTTGGCTTTTTCAGAATGTCATATAAATTTATTCATATAGTATGGAGCCTTTCGAGTCTGGCTTATTCCACTTAGCATAATGCATTTGAGATCCATCTGTTTTTGTATGCATCAGTAGTTAGCTTTTTTTTTTTTGCTGAGTAATATGGCTGTAATACAGTTTGTTTATCATTCATCAGTAATAAGATACTGGGTTGTTTCCAGTTTTTGGAAATTATGAATAAAGGTGCTATGAACATTTTGTGTGAACATTTCGTTTTCATCTCTCTTGGGTGTATACCTAGGTGTTGGATTGCTGGGTCATGTAGCACATATACAATAAACTTTATAGTAAACTGGCTGCGCGAGGTGGCTCATGCTTGTAATCCCAGTGCTTTGGAAGGCTGAGGCAGGAGGATTGCTTGAGGCCAGGAGTTTGAGACCAGCCTGGGCAATATAGTGAGACCTTTTCTCTACAAAATAACAAAATATAAAAAAATTATCTGGGTGTGGTGGCGCATGCTGTAGTTCCATCTACTCTGGAGGCTAAAGCAGGAGGATTTCTTGAGCCTAGGAGTTCGAGGATACAGTGAACTATAATTGTGCCACTGCACTCCAACCTGGGTGACAATGCGAGATCCTGTCTCTAAAAATAAATACGTACATACATACTTACTTAATAACTGCCAAACCATTTTCCAGAATGGCTAGTACCAGTTTGCATTCTCACCACTAATGTGAGAGTTCCAGTTCTGCATCCTTGGTTTTACCATGTCACCCAGGCTGGAGTGTGGTGGCATGATCATAGCTCACTCCAGCCTCAAACTCCTGGGCCCAAGGGATCCTCCCACCTCAGCCTCCTGAGTAGCCAGGACCTACATGCATGTGCCACCATGCCCAACTAATTTTTCTTCTTTTATTAATTTAATTTGAAGATATT